GCAAAGCCTGCCTTGCTGCAGAAAGAGTAGGTCGAGCCCTCTGAGGTTTTGGAGAACTACTTCAGCGAGGGACGTGATTGAATCTGTCAGGTCAGAGATTCCTTTCTGCAATTCTTGGATATCTTGATCTATAGTGGCACTGAGCTCGTGATAGTGGGAGTTAGAAAGAAGCAGAGAAGATATGCCTGTGCCTGCACCTACAGTCCCTAGGCCAAGCAGAACAGCGATAGTAACAGCAGTAATGGGTTCTCGGCGGGAGCGTTTAGGGAGGGAAGGGTCTGAAGATTGTTCCCAGATATGGAAGAACTCATCAGGCTGGTAGTAAATGAGCCTGGGTGTAACTTTTATGAGAACACAAAATCCATGCTCTTGTAAAATGGGATTGTAGGCACAGGGGGTGAGTCCGTCTAAGCAGGCCCACCAGGTGTCATTGGGGGGAACTATAAATTGGGGTCCCCATCCAATGGAGAAGATTTCTCGACAGAGGTGGGTGTACTCATGAGGGATCTTTTGAAGAGTGTTAGTTATACAAGTCCTGTTACGGACTACTTGGGCTAAGGTTAGGCCTTCCCAACTAGCGCGTTTCCAACAGCAGTTGTAGGTATCATTGGAGGTGGAGAAGTTGCCAGGGATGGCAGCACCTTCATAAAAAAGGGGGGAAGAGTGGTAACATAACCAACATTCGGCGGTAAGCTCAGGAGTGGTGGAATTAAGACTAAGGAAGGTTTGATTTATAAGGGTGAGGACAAGGTCTTTAGAGCTCGCTAGGGTGAACACTGGCAGTGTAGGGGAGGGTTTAAGACTGCTAGTTGTGAAGCTATGGTTAGGCGAAAGGGCGGAAGGCTTCGGTGGAGGAGGGTGCTTCTCACCTAGGACTGTATTTGGGCCTATAGCAGCAGAAGGGGTGGCAGGGAAATCTTTAAGGAGTTTAATAGTAAAGGTGATGCCTATCATAATGTTCTTTATAGAAACGAAGACCCCAAGTGTATCCTTGTGCCTAACTTGAGGCTTTTTTCTCTTCTTCAGTGAGTGTGATAGAAAGAGGATGCACCAACCTTTGGTAATATTTCTAGGGAAGCACTCGAGGAGTGCTTCAGGGTATTTTTGCCCTTTAAAAGGGTGGTGGGTATAATTGGCTTTGGCAGTAATATAATCCCAGGAGGAGGAGGGTCTCCAGTAAGTATCTCTCATGGTCTCACACCCCCATGACGCACAATAATAGTCTGTCTTGCCTCCGCATTTATGAAGGAGGCTACGGGGTCGGTGCTGCCTGGCGACAAATATAAAAGGAATATGATCTAAGAACTGACTGGCGCCCTGCATCAGAGCAACCGGGGGTGGCGAGACCTGCACGAGAGATAAGGGGTGCTTCACTCTGCTCGAAAAGATGTTCTACTCCCCAAGGGGCTCTTGCACCTAGGGCTAGCTTACAGAGATCAGGTTGTAAAACGCTTGGCCACCAGACGTCTGGCGAGGTTTGAGAGTGGGACCAAACATCTCCTCTTTCAGAAAGCACTATCCAGGTGTAGTTCCAGGGAAAGTGTCAGGATCTCGCGGGTTGCTGCGCTGGCTGATGGCTCAGAGCTGTGGTCATGATCAGGAGGATGAGGATTTTTGGCAACTGCATCTGCAATTGGAAAAAGAATTTGTCTCAGGCGGAGATGGAAGCTCCAGTCTGGACTGTGGTAAGTTAGCAGTTTTAACTAGCCTTTCAGGGAGCCATCGAGGCTCGGAGTTTTGTTGGTCATAAATGCAGATGGACCCTCGGCCCCAGATAATAACGGGGTCGGGACTTTTCCATGTGAAGGTCAGTGGATCTTTCCATTTTACTAACGCTTGAAGTTCATTGGTTTTAGGGTGCCATAACCGATCAGCAGCTGAGCGTCCGTGGGAGTCAAGCGGCAAGAAGTTAATGACAAACAAGGCATGGCTAAGTTGATTGTGGGGGCTGATGGTTGTATAGAGGAGGGGATTGTTCTTGAGGCGGGAGAGTGTGTTTTTAAGAGTTTGATGAGCTCGCTCTGCAATTCCTTGTCCTTGGGGATTATATGGGATGCCTGTGATATGTTTTATTTGGAAGTCAGAACAGAAGCGCTAGAATTTAGCTCCTGTGTAACCTGGCCCATTGTTGATTTTTATGATCTTCGGCTTGCCTAGCACTGTAAAACAGTGCAAGGTGTGGGTAATGACATCTTTAGAAGCCTCTCCAGTAAGGGGTGATGCAAAGATAAAACCACTAAAGGTATCTATAGTAACATGGAGGTACTTCATCTTCCTAAAGGGGGTGAAATGAGTGACATCTATTTGCCAAATTTCATTCGGGATTAGTCCCCAAGGGTTCACTCCTAAATGAGGAACAGGAAGATGTGGAGCGCAGTCATTACATTTTTTGACAATTTCTCAGGCTTTCTCTCTGGTAATTTTGAACATGAGTCGCAGAGTATTTGCTGAAAGGTAGTGGAGGGAGTGAGCATGCTGAGCTTGACTTAGGGGTGTACTGCTGAAGGCTAGCGCTATTAGGGGAAGGGTACGGGCGGCTTGATCAGCAAGGGCATTGCCTGCCGAAAGAGGGCCGGGGAGTCCTGTGTGAGCTCGCAAGTGGCCAATGAAAAAGGGGTTGGAGCGTCGGAATATGAGATATTGAATTTGTCTGAACAGATCAGCGGCGTTGGAGGAAGGCTTAATAAAGGGAGTGGTTTCTAGGAGAGGTACTGAGTGGGCTATGTAAGAGCTATCTGTATAGAGATTGAAAGGGGTATTAGAGAGCGATTGAAACACTTGGAGGACTGCATGAAGTTCAACAAGTTGGGCGGATGAAAAGGGAGTGGGCAGGGAGATGGGGGTTTTATTTTGAATAACATATGCTGCCCGCCCTGTTGCTGAGCTGTCTGTGAAGACGAGGAGGGCTTCTCGCAAAGGAGAGGGGGAGGTAACTTTGGGAAAAACGAGGGGATGTAGTCTGCTAAACTGAATTAAAGGGTCAATGGGATAATGATTATCTATGGTCCCAGCAAAGGAGGCACAAGCGATACCCCAGTCATCGTTGGTTTGTAGCAACCAATCTATCTGCTCTGTAGTATATGGAACAA